TTATTAGGAATGGAATTTTTGGATTTTTTAATAGGATTTTTTTTCGATTTAAATATTAATATATTCGATAAGTAACCCTTTTAAAGGAGATATTTGCTTTAAATAAAAAATGTTCATAAGATTTGAAGGAAATTTTTGTTAAATTTTCTTTTATACGAGAAGGAAATTTCAAATTCATTTGTTTGTCTGGAATTTTCATTTAAATTTATTTTTTAAATATATTTTTTTTATAAAGAAAATTATCGATAAATTTCATTCTTATAAAGGAAATTTCATTTTTGTACGAAATTTTCGATAAATTTCCTTTTGATGAGAAGTTTTTAATAAATATTCTTTTCATAGGAAATTTTCAGTAAATTCCCTAATTATCTGAAATTTTCGATTAATTTCCTTTTTTAAAAGGAAATTTTCGATAACTTTCGATTTTATAGGAATTTTTCGATAAATTTCCATTTTATAGGAAGTTTTCCATAAATTTCTAATTTATAGGAAATTTTTGATAAACTTCCATTTTATAAGAAATTTACGATAAATTTCCATTTTATAGAAAATTTTCGATAAATTTCCATTTTGTAGGAAATTTGCGATAAATTTCTATTTTGTAGAAAATTTTCGATAAATTTCCATTTTATAGGAAATTTTAAATAAATTTCCTTTTTATGGGAAATTTTAGGTAAATATCCTTTTTATGGGAAAATCTGAATAAATTTATTTTTATAGCAAGTTTTGTATAGAAAATGAAGAAAATGTTTCTTTTTATAGGAAAACTTCGAAAATATTTTTACAGACATTTTGAATAAATTTCCTTTTTAGGGAATTAAGAATAAATTTTCTTTTTTTAAGAAATTTTAAATAGATTTTCTTTTAATAGAATATATTGATCAATTTTAATTTTTATAGGAAATTTTAAATAAAAATCATTTTTATTGGAAATTTTTACTAAAATTCCATTTTATAGGAAGCTTTGAAAAAATTTCCTTTATATAGGAACTTTTGAATAAATTTCCTTTTTTTAGGAAATTTTTGAATTTATTCCTCTTTATAGGAAATTTAGAATAAATTTCCTTTTTATGAAAAAATTTTGATAATGTTCCTTTTTTGAAGAAAATTTCCTTTTTTGTAGGAAATTTTCGATAAATTTCTATTTTATTTGAATAAAATTCCTTTTTATAGGAAATTTTGAATAAATTCCCTTTTTATGAAAAATATTTGATAATTTTCCTTTTATAAAGAAAATTTCCATTTTGTAGGGAATTTTCGATAAATTCCTTTTTTAAAGAAATTTTCGACAAATTTATATTTTATAGGAAATTTTTGATAAGTTTATTTTTATAGGAAATTTTCGATAAATTTATTTTTTTAGAAAATTTTTGATAAATTTCTACTTTTGGGGGAAATTTTATGATGAAATGATAAATTTCCTTTTTCATATAAAATTTGCAAAGATTAGAGGACAATTCCTTTAATCTTATCAATTTCTAGCCAATTTGTATTTAGATTTTTTTAAATTTTAAAAAAATTACATTTTTCGCTTATTGATTGATATAGGATTGATTTAAATTTCCTTTTTACATTAATTAAATTTACACTTTTTATTTTTTTCACTTGTGACTTTTAAAAGCACTTGTTAAAAAAATAACCACGTTCTCGTCATACTTACCACACTGTGTCAAATTTGTTACCATTAATACAATTTGAGAAGTAATTTTCTTTTTTGCGTCTTATTTCTGAAACACTTTTTAGAAACATTTAAAATTCTACACACTTAATGTCATTAGGTCGAGTACCCTTGTTCGAAGGAAATGAAAAGAAAAAATTTGTTTATTTGTTTTTTTTTCCTCTAATGATTGAAATGTACAAATATGATCTGACACTTTAGATTTCTTTTGATTTTTTTTACTTTACACATCCTGTAAAAAACATGTTTGATCATGTTTGTAAGTGTATGTGTGTGTGTGTGAAGGATAAATGTGAGAAAGTATGGGTTTTGAGTTTTGTTTGTTACATTATTCACAATTTATTTTTACAAATGAGACCAATTATAGGACGAAAAGTGTGTGTGTGTGTAACACACACTTTGTTACAAACGTTTGATGAAACTTACAAAGATATGAGAGCAACAAATGAATTCATGTTAATTTATATGTAGTTTTTGTTTGTAGCAAATGAACATGTTGCCTTCTTCTTTTCTTGCAATACTGTCATTTACACCATTCGAACCATTTGCGTTTTTCAACATTTTCCTAAGAAATCAATATTGGGGAAAATTAAGGACAAATCATTTATTGTACAAGTGACTTTGAATGTTAAACACGTTTTTACACACTTACAAGAAATAATAAAATGAACGAAATAATTTTTTTTTTGTTTTCATAAAGACAGACACTTTTAGGTGTAGTTAAAGTTTTGTAAAAAAAATGTTAAATAAATTTACATGTAAAATTTTTAATGAACGTTACAAAAAAGCCAAGTGTTGCCAACAAACCAAATGTTGTGTGTAACTGAAAGATGTGGAAGGGTTGTGAGAAATTGAATTTATTTTATTTTTTTTTTTTTTAACTTTTAATTTAAATATGAAAACATTATAGAGTTAAAGAAAATAAAATTACAATCTAAAGGACAAAGAAAATTCAATAAGAAACTGCTCTACTTATTAGAAAAAATTAACTACTACTTTTTACTTGAATACAAAGAAAATATTTATAAATGTACTATGTGAGTGTATTTAAGTGTAAAGCCAAACATGGAGATGGTTTTGTTTTAATAACTGGAATCGGGTGCACAGTGGTAGAGAGTAGTAGGGAAATAAGTGAAGTAAAGTTTAACAAAGAGAAAGGATCAGAGAATTCAATTGGTATTTTAATAAAATTTTTAATAAAGTTTGATTTAAAACAGGTTTTAAATAGGGAAGTTTAAGTTACTGGCGTTGTATTCACCTAAAACAGGTCCAGATACTGGTCATTAGGGCCATTTATTTGCCTAATTTATATCTTCTATTGTCAAATATTATATGGTAAGAAATTGAACTAGTTACTAGCCTTATTTTCGCCCAGAAATAGGTCCAATTACTGGCACTAGAATTACTTTCCAATTACAGGATTTATTTTCTTCTAGAAATAGTGCCGTTTTCTGACCTAAAAATAGAGCTAGTTTCTGACCTTAGTTTTTCTAGAAAGGCAGTTACTTTCCTTATTTCCGTATAGAAATAGGGCCAGTTACTGTGCTTATTTCTGTATAGAAATAGGGACAGCTACTGGCCTTATTTTCATATAGAAATAGGGCCAGCTTCTGACCTTATTTCCGTATAGAAATAGGACCAGTTGCTGGACTTATTTCCATATAGAAATATTTCCTTTTCGTATAGAAATAGGGCCAGTTACTAGTGTAATTTCTGTACAGAATAGGGCCAGTTACTGACCTTATTTCTGTACACAAAAAGGCCAGTTTGCCGATTCTGACCTAAAAATATAACTAGTTTCTGACCTTAGTTTTTCTAGAAAGGCAGTTACTTTCCTTGTTTCCGTATAGAAATAGGGCCAGCTACTGACCTTATTTCCGTACATAAATAGGGCCTGCTACTGGCCTTACTTTCATATAGAAATAGGGCCAGTTACTGGCCTTATTTCAGTATAGAAATAGGACCAACTATTGGCCTTATTTCCGTATAGAAATAGGGCCAGTTACTGACCTTATTTCCATATAGAAATATTTCCAGTTACTGGCAGAATAGAAATAGGGCCAGTTACAGGCCTTATTTCCGTATAGATATGAGGCCAGTTACTGGCCTTATTTCCGTAAAGAAATGAGGCCAGTTACTGGCCTTATTTCCGTATAGAAATAGGGCCAGCTACTGGCCTTATTTCCGTATATAAATAGGGCCAGCTACTGGAATTATTTCCGTATAGAAATAGGGCCAGCTACTGGCCTTATTTCCGTACAGAAATAGGGCCAGCTACTGGCCTTATTTCCGTATAGAAATAAGGCCAGCTATTGGCCTTATTTCCATATAGAAATAAGGCCAGTTACTGGCCTTATTTCCGTATAGAAATAGGGCCAGTTACTGGCCTTATTTCCGTATAGAAATAGGGCCAGTTACTGGCCTTATTTCCGTATAGAAATATGGCTAGATACTGGCCTTATTTCCGTATAGAAATAGGGCCAGTTACTGGCCTTATTTCCGTATAGAAATAGGGCCAGTTACTGGCCTTATTTCCGTATAGAAATAGGGCCAGTTACTGGCCTTATTTCCGTATAGAAATAGGGCCAGTTACTGGCCTTATTTCCGTATAGAAATAGGGCCAGTTACTGGCCTTATTTCCGTATAGAAATAGGGCCAGTTACTGGCCTTATTTCCGTATAGAAATAGGGCCAGTTACTGGCCTTATTTCCGTATAGAAATAGGGCCAGTTACTGGCCTTATTTCCGTATAGAAATAGGGCCAGTTACTGGCCTTATTTCCGTATAGAAATAGGGCCAGTTACTGGCCTTATTTCCGTATAGAAATAGGGCCAGTTACTGGCCTTATTTCCGTATAGAAATAGGGCCAGTTACTGGCCTTATTTCCGTATAGAAATAGGGCCAGTTACTGGCCTTATTTCCGTATAGAAATAGGCCCAGTTACTGGCCTTATTTCCGTATAGAAATAGGCCCAGTTACTGGCCTTATTTCCGTATAGAAATAGGCCCAGTTACTGGCCTTATTTCCGTATAGAAATAGGCCCAGTTACTGGCCTTATTTCCGTATAGAAATAGGCCCAGTTACTGGCCTTATTTCCGTATAGAAATAGGCCCAGTTAGAAATAGGGCCAGCTATTCTGGCCTCATAATTTCTAAATTAATTTAATTATAATCACTATTAAAAATCTCGAGCATCATATAGGTAGACTATTTACAAAGATTTGAACTTCGATACTTCTCTCCCCCCTTTGCCCCCTACCACTGTACAACATTCAATCATTTTACTTCAAAATTACATAATCATCATAAACTTCATCTACTTACCCTTTGTAGTCTTGAAACCTTGATTAATGGCACGTGTTGTTCGCACAGCTGCCCGATAAATGCGCCAATAGAAGAATAACATAACAAACATCGGTATATAAAAAGAGCCCAGAGCAGAGTATAAAACATATCCACGATCATTTGTTAACTCACATTTCCAGGGGCAGGGTGGTGGTGGTGCTGCATACGAGGACATTGATGATGGCGATGATGTATAGGTTGTGGTAGTTGGTAATGTTTCAGCACCATTCATCATCACGCGACCGGAATCTGCTGTATCGTAATACATAGCTGAAGTTGGATCATTATTATAACGGATACTACTACTTTCTGAACTGTCACTTGTTGTTAAAGTGTATTCATCATCGTCAACTAAATCAGTAGCAGAAGTATCATCAGCACCCGCAACTTTACTGTTGTCTGCGTCAGCATTCTCATTTGAATAGTGGTAGTTGTAGTTGCTGTTGTTGTCGTTAATGCCAGCAGGAGAATTGTCATCATCATCAACAGCAGCAACCCGATTATTTACATTTTTATCACCCGTATTATGATTTTGTAAATGTGCATAGTAGGGATCATATGGATTAAATGAATTATACAATGATGACGATGTATACAGTGATGATGATGATGACTTGGCTGAAGTTCTTCTTGTGTGCCTTAAAGCCTTGGCTATCGATACAGGTGCTGTAGCTGGTGATGAGTGTATTGTGTAGGGAGCATTTGTGGTGGTTTTTAAAAATTTTCTTTGTCTCTTTCCTTTGTGTTTTAATGATGGTGATGTTGATGTGGGTGCTACTACTCCTATTAACGACGATGATGTTGTTGTTGTTGATGATGACTCCGATGATATTGTTGTAGCACTAGTGGCATAATAAAGCGTATAATTTCCTCTTGTATAAGTTGGTTGTAGCATGGGCTGTAAGTAAGTGGTAGTTGCAAGCATATACGTTAAAATATTTAGAAGAAAATAGTTGCATATAAAAATACTTATTATCTCAAAGTTCAGTGATTTAGAAAAGTAAATAAAAGTAGTAGTATTTTTTTTTTTAATTCCCCTAGTTGTTTTTACTTCAGAAATATTTATTGTTGTTTTCTATAATTTTTTTTTTATTTTATTTTTAAATGTATTATAAGAGCTCAAATCGCGCAAGATATTATTTATAGGGAGTAAAAAATATTGTTGTTGAAAATTTAAAGGAAAATATTTCAATTTAAGGATGATTAAATACAGTTACTTGTTTTTGCTTCGTCTGGAAAAATGACTGGTTATTGGCCTTATTTTCGTATAGAAAAGGTTTTGGTTACTGGCCTTATTTTTAACTAGAAAATGGACCAGTTAATAGCTCTATTTTTGTTTGAAAAGATGACTTACATACGTCAAAGTACTTAACGTGAACACCTGCCGTGTTGGCATTATTTCAAGGTGTTACTTTTACAACCACAGGGTTAGCGTGTTACTCACCACCGCCACTTTGTACTTCTTACTTGCCAGTGCCAATTTTTGTACAAGGTTCTGTCGATCCATGTACAAGCACTTTGCTCAAGTACTCGAGCTAAGTATCTAATTTCAGATCATTGCTGCTCCATTGTGTAACTTTCGAAATGCAAAAACATCACTTTTCTTTAGAATCACGCAGATGAGATGGCCTTTGTTGAGCAAAATACGAATCAATTAAAAAAACTGAAGACTTGTTCTAATTCACATAGAACACACTGTTTTAAAACTGGTATGAACACAGTAAACCCTGAACATACCCTCAAAAGGAAAGAAATTTTTAATAATATCACAGGCCTTATGCATGAGGCCCGTATTCCCTATATTCATCTCGTATCAAATACACTTGACACCAAATCATTTCATTTGCGGGGTATCTTTTGTCTCGGCATCAGCACCGAATTTATCCCGAATTCCCTTCCCGAATGTTTGGGTTTAAATCACAACCACCACATGTTCCCGAAAGGAGTTCTCTCCAATAACCGAGACAAGACAAAGTCCGAAATCTGTCCTATGGGCTACCGTTTCCCGTGGTACCAAATTATAAGGCTCCCTGTGAATAGTTTTAGAAAATCGATTTGACGCGGAAGGTTTTTGCACCAAAATGACCTGAGAAACAAGTTTTCGTTATCAGAACACTACTGGCTACTACGTAGTGATAGGGCCTGATTTTGGTTATAACCCTAATGTTCATATTCTTGTATGTTTGAAGTTTATAGACGACTAAACGGCTGAACTGATTTTCTTGAAATTTTCACAGTATCTTCCCGTATGTCCGGAAGAAGCTATAGATTACTTTTTATGTTGAAATTTCAAGTAGGCGAGCCACGCCCACATACAAAATAAGTATTAAAGTCGTGTTTCTCAGAAACTGCAATAGAGGGTCCAACTTTGACATCCATGAGAATATTTGTGCACCAAATGGACAAAGTGGCTATAGTGGACGTGACACCTTCCATATTAAGAAAATATTATTATTATTTAGTGTCAATATGTATATCTGGAAAACTATTATAGTTAAGTGGGTTTTTATTTATATTGCTTTTAGGGCAGCAAAGCACACTGGCTATAGCTAGTATTAAATATTTATAAGTATGTCATTTTCTCAAGGTATTTGTTGTCTAAAATCTACTATTAAACTGTATCTTTTTATTTGCCTTTTAAAGTATTTAGTTTATGGTGTATATAAAATATTTAAGTTAAGGTCGTTTTGTTTCATGATTTGATTTCTTTTTTGTTTTTCTAAAAATGTATGTGAACATTTAGCTTTCACTTCCTGTTGTTTTAGTTTATAGGCGCTATAAATTTTGATTTTTTTAAGTTTTTGTAGTCATCATCGAAAAGATAGTGGGTGTATTTATTTTATCAATCCGTTTGTAATACGTGGAAATATACCACCAAAATATACAGATATTAGGAGCAGCAGCCCTTTGAACCTAACTTTTATAGATTCTGAGATTGTCTATGTAATTGTCTATCAACTTTCGAAGTTCACTTTAAATTTATGACACATGATGACGGGCATTTATGATTCGGTGTAGCAGCACATAACAATCTCACTTGTTTATACTTTCTTGTACTCTTGAAGGGCAAAAGCTTTAACAAATTTTTCTCTTTGACCTGAAAAGCAAGAAAACTAATAAATTTATTACCTTCAAACCTACTTAAAAACTCATAAAACTTGACCAATTTATGCCAAGCATATACATATATCTTGTCTTAGTTTTTTTGTCCCTTTTGGGGCACTATCTTGTTTAACAAAAAAAATAATAAAAACATGAAATAATGTCTGCAGCAATTTCAGAACGTAGTTAGAAAAAAGTAAAGTTTGTGTAGTTAAAGAATTTTTTGGTTACTTTTGAAAACAATTCAATATTTAAGAGTGTGAGTTGCGAGGGTTGTGCGATAATTTAGCAGTCATTTTAATGTGAAATTATATTGAAATAAACCATATTGAAGCCTTTTAATCAGATTTGCAAAAGTTTTTTCTTATTTCCATTACCAAACGGCCCTCTTATGCATATAAAAAAAGTATGGCCTGGTTGAATGGCCTTGTTTATTCCAACATTTTTTTTCCTGTTTTTTTTTTTTTTTTTTCTTCTTTATTTTTGGCAATTTTACGCTCCATATGTTAACCTACTTGTTTATTTATAATTTTCGTTTACAAAAATATGTGTATGTAAATTTTTTGTAATTTGGAAAATAAATATATTAAACAAATACAACAGCGCCCATTGAGGACAAATTGTAAAAAAGAAACAAACAAATGTTGACAGTTTTATAACAATTGTTTAACAATGAATATAAAGTGGTACATTTAATTACTATTATATTTTTTTTGTTAATTTTTCTACTCATGTTATCTTTAGCTTTGATAATTACAACCAGAAACGGAAATGAAAATGAAACCAGAACATAACTTTTAGGAATGAAGCTGACTTTTTAAAGTAAAAATGCTAAGCAGTTCTTTGTTAGAGATACCAACAAAGTCTTTTCATTACGAAATATTACGCAAATCTATCTTTTTAGATTTTTGTACAGGGTACATAAATTATAACTACTTTACTTTTGCTTTGTTATGATAATGACATAGTTTTTCCCCACTCACCTTTTGATCTTTCCAACCAACTAACGGTGGGAAGCAGATAACAAATGATAAAACCCAAATACCAGCTATTAAAGATTTTGCCTTTTTGGTAGACATAATGCTGGGATAGGTAACGGGTCGTGTTACAGCGACATAACGATCCAAAGAAATGGCACATAAATTTAATATTGAAGCGGTACACATCCAGACATCGACAGCTAACCAAATGCGACACCAAACATCACCGAATATCCAAACCTGAGAAAATAAATAAAAAGTATTTACATATATTCAAAATAAACAAGTACAACTATACGTATGATTATTATTAATTACTCTAGAAGTAAATCATATTAATCATACGTTTGCTTAGCTGATACAGCCAGTTTGATTGAAATTTATTTCTTTAGCATTACTCACCTTAAATACTTCCCATGTTGCGGAGAATGGCAAAACAGCTAAACCAACTAGTAAATCAGCAACGGCTAAATTAACAATAAAAAAATTGGTAACGCTGCGCAATTTATTTGAACAAAAAACAGCGGCAATAACTAAAAGATTTCCTCCTATGACTAAGACATTGATAAATTCGAGTATCGCTAGTGAGATCAAATTTGAGGGTTCCGTCCATTTTACCGACTTGATTAAATTATCACACTCTGTTTCATTCATGGCGGTAACTCAATAATTGGTGTTGAAATGTATTCACTACCTGTAAATTAAAATGTAACGAAATTAATTATAAATTGTAATTATAAAAAAAAAATCTGTAATACTAAAATTTTTCTCTAAAACAAATTAACAAAAAGAAAAAAATATACATTAGTTAAAAAAAAAATAGTATACATTCCGAATACTGTAGTAAAACTTTGTTATAAAGATCATTTTCAAAGAAAAAAACGTTATAATGAACTGTTATACGGAAAGATAAAGATAGTTATACGTAACCGTGTCCATAGAAAAAACTGTTATACGGAAAATACAAAAATTGTTATACGGCAATTTTTTCATAAAATAATGATATGTAGAAAAGTAAAAGAAAGTCTTATTCGCAACTTTTTTTAAAAACATTACTTAAAACTTCATCTATATAAAATACTGTTATACGAAACATTTTCTGTAGAATATGCAACTTTCACTATATAGTAAAATAGTTATAAAAAGTTTTTTCTATATAAAAAACTGTGATATATAGAAGTTTTTCGGTAAAAGAAAGTGTTGTATAGAAGTTTTCTATCAAATGAATAGAAAGTTACAGATGATTTGTGAAAGAAGATGTTTTTATGTTTAAACTTAATTTCGGAAAGTGGCCCTATTTATGGTTCTTTATAAATTCATCATTTCGTTGTTTTCAGATACTTTATAAAAATCAGGGAATTTTCGAAATAGGGACTTTAATGAGGGGTTGGGTCAATTATTGACTGAGATCTTCCAATTTATGATCTTTCCTATAAAATTTCTTTATGTCTTTCTTTATGTTCTTTATGCTTCTTTTAGACCGTTATGACTGCTAAAGTCATTTTCTGTAGAAACCTTATATATGGGAAGAGTCAATTATGGACCGATCCTTATAAAATTTGAGAAAGAGATTTAGGTTCCTACAGGACACGCTTATGCCGAAATTCACCACAGTTATGAGCGCTAAAGTAATTTTCTGAAGGGGATCTTATATAGGGGGTAGGGTCAATTAAGGGCCGATCCTTATAAAATTTTACAAAGAGATTTAGCTTCCTACAGAACACGCTTATGCCGAATTTCACCGCTATAGATTCTTCTTTTAAACAGTGATTATCGTTAAAGTAATTTTCTGAAGGGAACCTTATATGGGGGGTAGGGTAAATTATGGGTCATTCCTTATAAAATTTTACAAAGAGATAAAGACTACATAAGACATACTTATACCGAATTTCACCGCTGAAGATTGTTCTTTTAGATTCTTCTTTTTAGCGTTAAAGTAATTTTCTGAAAGGGACCTTATATGGTCCTTAAGGGACCTTATATCAACCTTACCAAATATACTGCATCAATATCGTGGACTCTATCGTGTTTATAACAGACAGGCTAGATCGTCTTAAAATCTAATAAGGACCCAGAATATACATACATATACATATATACTTTTTATGGGTTTTAGATGAATATTTCGATGCATTACAAACGGAATGATAAAAACAATATACCCCCAATCTTGTTTGAGGGTGGATATAAAAATATACAATCAGAACTAATAATGACAATATCCTTAAGATTCAATGTCAATTTTCTTCAACTGATTAATTACTTTAATTAATTAAAAAAACTGCCGCATTATTAACAGTTTTTCTTAATAAATTTATAACATTTAATACACTCTTCATATTTATCTACTTTCTAATTTTTCATTATAAACCACCCCAGCGTATGCTAAATATTTTCTTTGATATAAATAATCCCGCAACACTCATACGCCTGTAAACCACTGCCTGGTTTATTCAACATACACATTATGTAATTGTATTATTTTTCATAATTCCACAGGATTATATGACCCTGTCAAATGAAATCAAAACCGTTCTTATGAATTTTATTACAAAAGTATTTAAATTCAACGTTTAGATTACATTTTAGGAAGGCATAAAAATAAAACAAAAGAAAAATCAATAAATCTGCAATTACGTTGACTATTAAAATAAACTTAATCGATAAATATATACATTTATTATTAATCCAAGTTTAATAACTTTTTAGTATTTTTATGGTTTTTATTTATATTTAGAACTTTGAAAACTTAAATCAATAAAAAGCATGTGGCTACTTGCATTTGTTTTATCTACCCACAAACTCACTGGTAAATGTGGTCAGAACATATTGTACTTGCTTTGGTTTTTATTTTTAGTGCAGTAATTTGAAATGTTATTTCCTTATTTTTGTAAAGTTAACTTTTTAATTTAGTTTAAATACCATAGTATTGAAATTGTTGTTAGTTGGAAAGATAAATTTGTGTAAAAGCCTGTTCAATTCAACCTTGTATACTAATAACAAAACCAATTGAAAATGATTGAATTGAAATTAAATAATTTTAATAGCTTTCATAGAAACGTCACAACAAAAATGACTAAAGTATTCACCCACAAAAAATATGTTTTTCTGCTACAAAAATAAAACAGTTTGGAATGGTACATGTTTTTCAATATTTTCCATTAAAAAAACATTTATAAAATTTGTTATTATATAATATGTATATGCACCAATATAGCAGCCCTGCAATAATGCAGAAAAAGACTTAAAAGAAATATTTTTTTTTTAGTTAGTTAGTTAGTTAGTTACTTAGTTAGTTAGTTAGTTAGTTAGTTAGTTAGTTAGTTGTTAGTTAGTTATTTAGTTAGTTAGTTAGTTATTAGTTAGTTATTGTTAGTTAGTTAGTTAGTTAGTTAGTTCGTTAGTTTAGTTAGTTAGTTTTCGTTAGTTCGTTAGTTAGTTCGTTAGTTCGTTCGTGTCGTTCGTTAGTTCGTTTAGTTAGTTCGTTCGTTATTAGTTCGTTCGTTCGTTCGTTTTCGTTCGTTCGTTCGTTTCGTTTTCGTTCGTTTCGTTAGTTCGTTCGTTGTTAGTTCGTTCGTTCGTTCGTTCGTTCGTTCGTTCGTTCGTTGTTCGTTCGTTCGTTCGTTCGTTTTTGTTCGTTCGTTCGTTCGTTTCGTTCGTGTTTGTTCGTTCGTTCGTTCGTTCGTTCTTTCGTTCGTTCGTTTTCGTTCGTTTCGTTTTCGTTCGTTTCGTTCGTTCGTTTCGTTCGTCTTTCGTTCGTTCGTTCGTTCGTTCGTTCGTTCGTTCGTTCGTTCGTTCGTTCGTTCGTTCGTTCGTTCGTTCGTTCGTTCGTTCGTTCGTTCGTTCGTTCGTTCGTTCGTTTCGTTCTTCGTTCGTTCGTTCGTTGTTCGTTCGTTCGTTCGTTCGTTCGTTCGTTCGTTCGTTCGTTCGTTCGTTCGTTCTTCGTTCGTTCGTTCGTTCGTTCGTTCGTTTCGTTCGTTCGTTTCGTTCGTTCGTTCGTTCGTTTCGTTCGTTCGTTTCGTTCGTTTTCGTTCGTTCGTTCGTTCGTTCGTTTCGTTCGTTTCTTTCGTTCGTTCGTTCGTTCGTTCGTTCGTTCGTTCGTTCGTTGTTCGTGTCTTCGTTCGTTCGTTCGTTCGTTTCGTTCGTTCGTTCGTTCGTTCGTTTCGTTCGTTCGTTTCGTTCTTCTTTCGTTCTCGTTTCGTTTCGTTCGTTTTCGTTTCGTTCGTTCGTTTGTTCGTTCGTTCTTCGTTCGTTCGTTCGTCGTTTCGTTCGTTCGTTCGTTCTTTTCTTCGTTCGTTCGTTTCGTTCGTTCGTTCGTTCGTTCGTTCGTTCGTTCGTTCGTTCGTTCGTCGTTCGTTCGTTCGTTCGTTCGTTCGTTCGTTCGTTGTTCGTTTCGTTCGTTCGTTCGTTCGTTCGTTCGTTCTTCGTTCGTTCGTTTCGTTCGTTCGTTCGTTCTTTCGTTCGTTCGTTCGTTTCGTTCGTTCGTTCGTTTTCGTTCGTTGTTCGTTCGTTCGTTTCGTTCTTCGTTCTTTCGTTCGTTCTTTCGTTCGTTCGTTCGTTCGTTCGTTCGTTCGTTCGTTCGTTTCGTTCGTTCGTTTCGTTCGTTCGTTCGTTCGTTGTTCTCTTTCTTTTGCTTTCTTTCTTTCTTTTTTCTTTCTTTCTTATTCTTTCTTTTCTCTGGTTCTTTTCACTCAGATTTCTTTCTTCTTCTTCTCCATCCATGTAGTACCCTCATTGTTTTTGGCATCAGTACAACTTTATAATTCCTTTTGATAGCACACTTCGGTCTTTTGGTTAAAATATTTTCCTACGTTTGTTGGCTTGTAATTGTCTTTCTTATTCTATATTTCTTTGAGAAGGCTCTGAAGATTTCTATTAGCAAATTTTTCATTTGATTTCCTTTTATTACTAATAGCATTAAGTACCTGTAACAGTACTTGTAATTATTACCAAAATTTAATTTCAAGCTATTTAGACGGTCAACTTTCCAAAATAATGGTAATAAAAATTTTGAATTACTAACTGAAGAAAACAAAATATTAGTTGTAGTGGTAAGTGTGAGGCAATTTGGGAATTGAGTAAATCAAAATTAAATGGAATTGTTTAACACTTCTTAAGGGTGTCAAGATAATACATTTAATAATAATGCGATTTCTGGAACACTTAATACACAAGCTGAAATGATACTTTACTTTTGAGTTAACTACTCTCATTAATAAAAAATATGTCTGATGATGTAAGGCTTCAATGTCACTTTATTAAAGTATAATTTCCCTGAAATATGTAAAGTTCAAAGACATTCAATTCAAAGGTAAATAATACACATTATTTTTAAGCAGAAATTTAAATTTTCCTATTAAATTCTTATTTGTACTTTAAAATAGTTTTTACCTCCATTAGTTAAGTACTTTTGAATTTTGAAGTATATTTTCACATAATAAGGGTTTTAATAGCAAAAGAATACTTATCTTCTTGAATAAATCTCAAGTACGTTATGTATAAAATTTCCATAAACAGCCATTACTTAACGAGTATTTAGTAAGATAAATAATAAGAATTATTTTATCTTTTCTTTTATAGAGACAAATTAATTTCTTTTAATTTGTATTCTTAATAAATTTTAATTTATTTTTTGTGCTACTAAAGACGTAATATTTTTAGAAAAGAGAAATTGAGATTCTATTGATAATTTAA